TTTTATACAAAAATATATATATATATATATATATATATATATATATAATTGTTTTGCCACTTCTACAAAGCATGAACGTCACACGAAACACTTATTTTTAGTAGTATTTATTATTATTTTATTCATTTTATGTTGTTATCAAAATTATGTGGTCCACATCTATGAACCAAACACAAGAAATCAAGTCTAATAAATACAGATTAATATTTAATTTTCAACTTAAAAATATTCTGAATCATCTCTATAAACTAGAAAAATTACACTATAATATGTTATATAAATTGAATAGTCATTCATTACTAATACAGTAAAGATTTACATCTTTAACCAATAAAAATATATATTAACATATGATTTATAAGTTAATAACTATTGAAAAATCAACAAATTCGTTATAATATATGATTGAGCATGTAAAACTGCTATAAATTGAAAATTCCCTATTTTTTCTTTATTTGTTTGTGTTAACACACAGTAATTACAAATTATTGAAAAAGTCACCTAACTTAGATAATGTTTTAAGATTTGATGACAGTGGTAAACTGCTTTGAAATGAGATTGCATAACCTTTTTTTCTCTATTTATTTATATTAGTAGTTTAGTAGATAAACAATACTATAAACAGCTGAAAAATCAAAATATAGTCTCAAAAGTCAGAAAGCAAGAGAGAGAGAGAGAGAAAAAAGAAATTAAGAAACGGAAAAGAAAAGCAGCTTTGTTCTGTTCCAATTCCAAAAACGACAAGTTCAAGTTCAAGACTGGAAGCCAAGTTATATTTTTTCACCCCATAATCGGCTCCACTCTGAATGCTTCAAACTCCAAACTCTCTCTCTCTCTCTCTCTCTCTCAACACAACACAACACAACACACTTGTGACCTGTCTCTGTCTCTGCGTTTTCAGTACGCTTAGATCCTGCTCTATTGTTTTCTGAACCCATCCATCTTGCTTCTTCGTCATGGGGTCCATCCAGATTTCACAAATGCACTCTCTTTCATAATCAAAATCATCTCTTTTGAAGCTAGGGATTTCAGGTTTCAGATTTTCCATTGCCACCATCATCTCCCTCTCAGAAGATGCAGTCCAGTGGGCCTGATTCCGCAAGCCCAATGACCCACCGCCTTCAGTCTCTGTCCTCCGCAGATACAAGAGGCAAACATAGGATACACGCTCAAGTTAAACGCTTGGAGCAAGAAGCTAGATTCTTAGAGGTACGGACTTGCTTCATCATCCCTTTTCTTCTCTCTTTCTGTCGTTTTTTCGTTGCCCTTTTGCTTTGCTTTTGCATGCCTGTACTTTTTCTTAAACGAGACATGGTAAAATGGGTTCCCAAAGGTTGTAACTTTTCTTTATTGCTGTGTCGGTATTATCAAAGACAAATGCTATATGACGTTGCCTATGTTGGAATGCAAATTAGCAACAAAAGAAATTAACTTATATATATTTGGTTGGTTGTTGGGCTATTCTTCTGTCACCTGGATTTTTGAGTTTTCTTTGTGGAAACACAATTTAAGAAATTAATGTTCAGATAGGGGAGGTACTAGTACAAGTTATTGTGGTCCTTGAACATCAAGTATGGGGTGGCCTCCTGATAGTTCAAAAGGGTAGTTGTTTTATTAAATGCTTGCTTCTCCAAAAGAGACACTTTCATTTACATCAATTTGGTCCTTCAAACACTTTGGCATCCAATAAGTGCTCTGAATATTTAAATTGACATCAAAATGGTCATACGTAGCTTGACAGAAGGATTGTTTTGTCATATCTTTAAACCTAAGGAGGATTAATTTGATGTTGCAAAATTTTCAAGGATCAGATTAGTGTCAACTGTCAAGTGTATCTTTGGAGGACCAAACTGGTAGTTTGCTCATTGTTTTCCCCCAATGAATATTTTCTGCTAATCATGATTAATATTTTGATACATTAGTTGTTTATGCCGTTATTGTTAACATCGTTTGGGTTTTGATTATCAATTGTTCTTAATGAACAAAATGCGATTTTAGCTGGCCGTTTTGTCTTTCGAAAGAAACGCAAACATTGCAGTCAAAGATCCATCAATCACAGTTCCAGTTCTTGAGTCTTTACTTAGGAAGCTCCATTTTTCTACGATTGATAGTATGCATAAATCAACTTTAGTATTTTCTGTTTATGGGACAAAGCTGGCACGGCATGAGAAGGGAGTGTGAGTGTTTGGCTTTGATAATATTTCCATTTCCATTGTCAACAAAACAAGTTGCAGAAATGTATCTACTCTACCTACCTTTGTAGATATAATTGCAATTGACATATTTGGTGTAATATATGAATGCACCTCCTTAAGCTATTTTCTGATGAATGTTTACTTGGGGGGGGGGGGGGGG